TGGATCTCTGCATGAGCATCCGGTCCAGACTTGTTACTGTTTATAAGCTTTTCCACTAAGCTGACAAAGAAGCTGAATAATGTATCTATCAGTCAGCCTGAGTGGGCTGAGCACAGGGCAGTGAGGAAGCTTGCTACAGGCTCATTACAGGTGAAGATGACATGTTGCGGAGCAGCCGACTTGGCACTGTCTCCGTGCTCCTCCCAACGATAGACGGCGAGACACTCAGTCACTCCCCACGGCGTACAGAACGTGAGGGTGGGGGCACAAGGTGGAAGCGACAGAGGAAAGGGTCCGCAACGCACCTCTAACCCACCCCCCCCAAAATGAAATTGACAGGCTCACTGAAGTAATTGCTCCCAACACTATTTTCTTTGGCAGGAAATACTGTTATCGACAGACAGGGGATTCAATAAGCTGCAGGAGATGAGGCTCAAGTCATTCCTCTGCCGTTGAGGTTGCAGAGTCTCCTGATGGTCTTTGCCCTTCCTTTTATTCCCAAAGTTATCTTTTATTTTAATCTTTCTTTTTTGTTTTTTTTTTTTACTTTTTCTGTATCTTTTTACCCTTTATTTTTTTGGCTTTTCTTACTCATGTATCAATATCCACTCACACGATTCTCCTCTTGATTTGGTCTTGCGCTTTTTCTCCAGGTTGACCATTATTTCAGAACCAGTCAGAGGAAAAACCTTTTATTACATAGAGGCCAGCCAGCGACTGCTCCACTTCCCCTCCTTCTCCTCAGATAGTTTCTCTGCTGCCAGTATCGTGGTGTAATGTTGATATTACCCCAATGGAGCCCATTGATTTGAGCTCAGAGCATAAAAAAGCAGTTTATGGCCAAAGTCTTCGGTTTCCAGAGGTCAGATCATGTGCTGAAACCAGATCTCAACCTTTTCTGGACATCGTGGAACGTTTGCTGGGAACTGTGGAGAAGTAGAAAGATAAATGTATTTGTTTAGGAACGCGTTCGCCTTTAACGACCCATTACTGTGAATGTATGGTTAGAAAAATGAGCCACATTCAGGAATGAAAAGTTTGAAACTGTCGACTTTTTTATTAATTTGCTCACCTGCCTTTTATCCCAACATTCATTTGATTCACTTACTATTGCAAAGTGGAACTCTTTTTTTTGTAAGGTTTATGGAAGCAAGATTTGTTAGGAGCAGAAGTCTCAGTAAAATATTAATTAAAGGAATGGGTTTAATATCAGTTAATTCAGTCACAAAATTAAAAAGAATTCTGAAACACTGCCTCAAATTGAATCAAACATTAAGTCGGACCTTTCTGTTAACTTGAGGTTTTTGTGTTGTGAATTAGTGAAGCACTCAGATATTTTAGAATAAAAGCTTTTGTACACAGAGTCTGCACTACTGAGTAAAGTCATTATGTAAAATAGATTACCAGGCCTTTGGCATCTTGACAAAATGTTCAAATCAATAATGTAGGATTTTAAGAAACTTTGAAATTTTGTCTCAAATTCATCCTGCAAATCAATGCCCACAATGACTAAATGGTTTTTATGTTCCCTCCTGACCTATGACTTACCCATTTTTTAATACTTCAGATAATAAGTATGAGGAAAATTACCAAAACAATTTGAAGGGTATTACTCTTTACACACAAACTATACATGACATCGATGTCAAAATAATCTCAAAAGTTGCAAAACTTCTCTTTAGTTCTTAATGCATTTGCTCTATTTATCTTTAAAAATTAAAGCTCTTGTATGTTTCTCCTCCTCTGATTTCTGCTTTGGTATTGAGTCTCCTTAAAGTGAAACAAAAACAATGACATTAAGTATGATAAAAGAAACTACTTACTGTAGCTACAGATCATTTCAGAAGTGTTTCACTTTGATGTTTCTTAAGGATAAATAAGTTTTACTTGAGCAGCAATTTTCCCTGTTTGTGGTATTATTGGATATGACACAAGTAATTTCCTGTGTTAAGGAACACTTTATAGCTCTTTAATGTCTGCAGCCTTTGTTTGATTAGACAATATGGATGACATGCATTTTAAGTACTGGATAGATTTCACTAATGATACCTTTCATCCAATCCATTAACAAGAAACATCTTTGGACTAAATATTCGGTCCAGTTATGCTTCACATAATGAGTCAAAAGATTTTACTATTTGTTATATCAGTTGGTATTTCAAGAATTATATGTATAAAGAGGGACGCACCAGTCTGATTATGGTATATTTTTTCTGTTATGCCCAATAATTAATATTAACTAATATATGTGTTATATATTTGACAGTTTGAAAACAACGGGATATCCCCCCTTTCCCAGCTGAAACACAAAATCAGCAACAAAACGTAAATAAACATCGGTTGTTAATATTAAACCAGTTTGACACCGGTATGTTAAAAAATGGCCAAACTGATGTTGATTCCCATTGGTGTGTTTTTTTTATTTTTTATTTTTTTTATTTTAGCAGCTGAGATGTTGAAATTGAAAGTGAAGCGTCTTTGGGATGGAGGGAAAGAAAATGTCAGGAAAAAATGTGTATTAAATGAAATCAATGTCAGCATTGCAATATTCAGCAACAGTATCACAATTAAACGCTTTCTAGAGATTGTGCAGCTTTACCCTTTGCCTACTTTCTTTTCCTTTAATTGACTCTAAAATACTCAGCTATTCTGAGCTGTAAATACTAGAGCGACTTGAATTTTATATGGCGTAAATATGCAGCAAATTTCCTGTTGTTGACAGAAATCTGTTGTGAAATCTGAAATTAGTTTCTTGTTTATTCTTCTGCATAATATTCATCTTAGTACTTGAGAACTAATATAGCCACAGCAATAAGCTGCTAAGCTGCATGCCACAGTTTCTACTGGGTGTATGAATCATGCTTTGGTGATCATTTTAAAAATATGATTTTACATTACCATTTTCAAAGAAATTTATTTTTTATATCATTTAGTCAACGGCCAAGCTCGGCTTGTGTGAAAAGAACAAGATTTGTGGCTTGCTGTTCGAATCCCTCCGGTTTTTCATGCACAAACACACAAAAAAAAGACTCATTCATGTTGACTGTGCATTGCAGCAGAACAGCAGGTCTCTCTTTTCTCCAGATAAATGAGCAAGCTTATTACCTCCCAAACTGCCTATTAGCACAGCTCACTTTGTAGGGAACCAGCAATACAAGAATGAATACAGCTGCGTTCCTTATGCCAGGGAGTCTGGTTCTGGATAATGTGATGGAGTCTCAGTAGTGAGTTTCCTCATGTGTTTTCTTTGGTACTGAGACCCAACTTCCGCCTAACTAGGTAATTTTATCGAAATCATCCAGTAATTATCAAATTTTCTGAGATGTTTGTGGAGGGGCAAAAATGTAAAACATTTCCTTGAAAAGCTTTTTTTTTCATTTTGAGGCCTGTTTGAGTGCCTGCTGGGGCCAGCAATCGATTCAATCACTTAGTGACGTTGGAGTCGATCCATTTATCAATGTATAGTCTAAAGTGGGCTTCATTGTGTGCTCAGGGAGTTGGTGTTTATGTGTTTGAGTTGAATGTGTGTGGTGCCACCACTGGTCTCATTGTGTAAACATCAGTGTAGAAACACGTCCCAGTGGATATTAAACACTAGAATCCATTTACTTGAAGCGGAAACTGCTGCAGATTGCCTGTGGTGCCTGTCTTTGGCTGTGGTGGCAGAGTCCGGGATTAGTCTTTGCTGATTAACATTAAAAGGAGAACTTAGTCAGCATATGCAGTAATTTGTCTTGTCGTATTTGATTAAATGTACATTTTATGTGTGCCCTTTACTCTGACGCCCCTGAATAAAATCCAGAATATCAAGTTGCCTTCAGGATGCAATTAGAAAATAGTCAACATGCCATTTCATGTCACTGCTGTTCTGTAAATTCCTCAGAATTCCTTCCTTTGAACTACTGGAAAAAAATATGAATTTCTTCATAAAGGCCAAACCTCACAGGTTACTCTATTGCTGCATTAAAAATAAAATAAAATAAAAAAAAGTTAAAACTCTTTCTTTTTAAAGCAAATTTTCTATGTGTTTTATTCTGCTATTTTTTAATTGGCACTTAATTTTAGTTATTTTATTGGTTTTCAGGACATCATTTTGTGATAGCTTTGTCTGTGAAAAGGCTTAGCAGATAAACTTTACTTTTTTTCAAATGAAAAGCAACAATCAATTTACAGAACCCCTAAAGGAATAACTAAAAAAAAGAAAAGTTGATTCCTCCTGCACACAGGATACTCTTGGAAGCCAAAACTCAGACTGCTAGTATGGTTGTAGGAGAATTGAAAACACTAAATATATCTGACAATGTCATCCAAAAACTCAAGTAAAACATGGCAAATTATATTGCTTGTGTATTTGTAAAATTTTCACCTGTCCATACATGGACCAACTTTTCTTCTTTTCTCTTTACACATGTCCCCTTAGGGCACATGTGTCGAACTAAAGGGCCGCAGGCCAAATCTCGCCAGCCATCACTTTTTATGTGGCTCTTTACATTCTAGCTGGCCACATAAATTGCACCTTCAAGATAACATCTGTGTGCTTAAATATGGTTTTACCAGTCAAATAAAATTAGTGTTCATCTGTATACTGCCAAATTACATCAACATGAAAATATGTTCAATATTTAATTTTTAAAACTACTCATCAAATGGTACACTTATTGAAGGTGAGGACAGGATGAAGGGACATGTTCACAGTTTGAAAACAAAACCTTGTCAGAATTCTGCGCCTCTTTGGTCTGTTGCATACAAGCATACTATTATACATTCCTATGAAATGGGAAGAAATCACATTGGTTATGAATATTTTTACAAAACATGATAGTTACACCACAATTATTGTTTCGGTAGCAATGCTTCAGCCCCTCTGTGTGACTCAGACTGTCCTTGATGTTAAAACATAGCGCCTGACAGCATATAAGCACAGTTTTTAAAAAAAATAAAATATTGATAATATTCTGGTTCAAAGTTTTAATCTAATCATATTGTGTTTTTCTTTGCAGGGTGGGCTACGTAACAGCAAGCATGAGTGCACCCTTTCGTCCCAGGAATACGTCCATGAGCTGCGATCTAACATCATGGACGAGAAGCTGTTCAACTGCCTGGAGTCTCTCAGAGTGTCTCTCACCAGTAACCCTGTCAGGTTGGTAACAAGAGGTTTTATCACCAGAGGATAATTGTTCCTTCACTCATCTTGATCGCTGGGAAATTTTGATAGTTAAATTTATCAGAAGACCTCTGGCACCATGAACATTTCAACTCCTTGAATAAATCACTTTGTTTGGGTTGTTTAACCAGAGAAATGAACAATTTTGAGAGGAGAAACAAAGCTGGAAATAACCTGCATGGCAGAAAAATGCTGCTATTCACTGACTGGGACCAGATTTTCTATTTTGTTCTGAGAGTTGGGGAAAAAATATTATGTTATTAGTCTGGTACTGAGCAGTGAAACGACTCCAGTGTAATCCACGAGGCAGTTATCCATGTAAAAATAAAATTGCTTATTTTTGCCACCACCGTGCATTAGTGCGTACAAATGTTTGACCCACGAAATAACTCGACTTAATACAATTACTCCCACTCTTTGTGCGGCAGGCCTCTCCTTCTTTCCCTGTTTGACTGGCAGCGGTCACCCCAATTAAAATGGTCAAACGCACTCGTCTCATAAGAGCATAAATGTGTGTTTTTCTTTCTCCTATTTGTTGCTCTAACCACAAATTCATTCTATCCCAGTCCTCCAAAGGTGTTCAGTGAAAGCCTTGCGAAGCGCTTTGAGGTATTATTTATTTAGCTTAAACACCAGATTTTCTGTAGTCCTGCCATCTAATGTTACACCCACTTCAATGGGTCCCTCTTTCTGCTCTTACTCATGTTCACACCATTTTCTTATTCCAGCAACTTGTCTCTCATAAGACTTGGGGACAAGAGGTATCCTTAAGCAAGACCGCTGCTGCAAATTAGACATGTCTTATAGCTGTAGATAGGCTATCCATTTCTGTGAAACTCATTTAATGATATTCTCTCTCAGGAAGACACTTTCCTAGTATGATTCTTTTTTTTTCCTTTTTTTTCTCAGATCAGTTTCAGCTCTTTTGTTTGTCCCAATTTTCTCCTCTTTCATATTGGATTGTTTCAGACCATTCTCCTCCCTGATGGGATACTTCATTTTATGGAGCATCTGGACATAGTAATCTTCATAAACTGGGAAAATGTGCACCGGTTTTTGATTGTTTAAAGTAGATTTATTACCAGTTTTCAAAAAGCTGATATCTCTATTTGGTGACTGTACTGACTGAAACATGATTAAAAAACTTTATAATGAGAAGACAGCTGTTTAATTACTTTTGTACAGAGCTAAAACAACACATTAAACTTTTAAAACTTAAGGATAATGTTTTTAATTAGCTTTTTCTTGAAAATTAGCTTTTTAAATGAAGACCTTGTGTTCATAATAGAACGCTGACTCTAAGGTATTAAGTTTAAATTAGATGCTACAGTTTGTCTGACATGTTTGGCTGAACAGCCATAGATTGAGTTTCTGCAGGACAGCACTGATATGCTTGCACCATCTTAAATATTTTTGCAATGTTTTGACACTTTGTCACCTGTAACGGACATAGCTTTGAAGATAAAATATTGGTTTTAAGGCAGAATATTTCACTTATGACTAATACTGTTTAATTAGTATTAAGGACTTAAAACAATCTCCAACATCATGCTGATTACTTACTTGTAATTTAGTTTTATTTTATTTCATATTTTCTCTATAAACTAAACCAAAAATACTTTGTAAGATTTTGTGTTTTTGGAGTACGACAGACAGGTGAATAGTGAAAAACACATTTATCTAATAGCTATACTTTAACTTGTTTTTTTTAAGTGTCCCCATGAAAATATGGTTTTAAATGCTGCTGTAAAACTCACTGCTTGAAGATGAGCTGAGGTAAAATCAAAGACGGTATGAAAACACCTGGGATTTTTATCTGGGTTTAGCCAGGCTATCCGGTACTGATCATTTAATAATTTAGATGTCAACCCAATACTTGAGATTAATCTGGGACATCCCTACCAGTTAACTTCTTGAAGTGGCTAAACTTTTAATTGGTGCAGTTTAACCTTCATTAAAATGTGCATAGGAAACAACATAAGTGTGCATAATAGGTAAACAGGTTCTTTTCAATCTTTTTGAAGCTGTATATCTTTAGCATAATATGGAAATTTAGGTGATTTATTTATTATTTTTAGTTTGTTTTATGTCTAAGAGCCTTGTAACAAGGGTGGTTCACCGAGGATAGGGTCGCCCTGCAGATGTGTGTAAAAGGCTTTACCTCTTTCAATGTCTGTAGGAAAGAGTTAAATTCAACAGATGGTGGGGTTCAGCCAGAGATCAACCTTTAGCTGTGTAAGCAGAGGGGACTGTGTGGGTGTTGACTCACTCAGGTCATTTAGTTATCTTTATGCCGCTTATTTATCTCCTGGGACAAGCGACTCACTTTCCAGCAGCATGGAGAAGGTTACCGCTAATTAATGTGAATATATTTTGTTGTTATGGATCACAACGCACAAAAAGTCTGCATTTGACTGTGCTATGTTAATGTAACCTTTGTGCACTGTCATCATATTCTTACTGGAGCACCTCATGCTGGATTCCTTTGTGTGAGGGGGTGGTGGTGTTATGTCAACATTTGGTCTTTTTTTTTAACTAAACATGAGGGCAACATAATTTGGAAAATCCTTGCATTTTTTTCAACTTAGTTCCAACTTAAAATAGAATTCTCTTTCAAACACTTCTTTTTAAGCGTTTTTACTTATTGCTTTAGTGTAGTACACTTTCAGCAGTTTATTAAACAAAAGTTAAAACAGGTTTATTAAAGCTATGCATAAAAACGTGAAGAAAAGACAAATTTCTGAAATTACTGGACAGTAAGTTGTTTTAATTTTATGAGTTTTCAAATTCGTCTTTATATAATGAAATTATACGTTTTTCCTTAAATCTGACCATTTTTCTAACAGCTTAGCTCAGGTTGTCTTTGTGCTCTGCAGGTACATTGTTCGAAGCATCTCCGCTTACATCCTCATTTCTTTCTTGTGTTTATGATTCTCTCAGTTGCTTTCAGCCCTTTGTGTAATCCCACACTGACTTAATGACACTGCCCCGGCGATCCTGAAGTAAAAGCTTTCATGAATAATGATCTTGACCTGTCTCTCAGTCGGAAGCAGTGTGTCCTCTTACATGAAGCCCAGTCTCTCTGTCTGCTTATATTAAGTGGATAACTTGAGCTCTTTTAAATGTATGGGAGTTAAATCTGGCCTTCATGTATGTAAATCTGACCTGTGTCACAAAAACACTGAAAAACATTTAAGTTGATCTGATGATTTGTTTTGGTGATGAAAGCAACTAAAACTGTGTGTGTACCTCAAAGACTTGCTAGCAAAGTGTTGTTCTTCACTGTGAGTGCTTACCGCTGCTTTTTGTCTTCCCTCAGATGTTTGCACTGCCTGCTAATTTGCTCCCACAGGCCTGTGTTTGTCTAATAGTTTAATTGGCTGGGCTGTGCACCTGTTTGGCAGCACAGGTGGCCGTGTGGCCATTCTGCTGTGGGCCTTATCTCCAGGGCAGTCCCACACAGGTGTGTGGCATGCAGCCTTCGCTGATCCACCCACAGATGGCATTGCCCGGAGCGTCCGCTGCCTTCTCTGTTTCTGCTTTTGGTTTTCCTCGGCTGCAGAGTTTCTCTACTACTTTTTCCATTCAAATTTCCCCAGCCAATTATTTATCCTCTGTTTCATTTTCTCACTTTTAATTTTGTCATTTGGATACTCGCTGCTTAATTTAAAACTGTCAGATTTACAAGCCTCTTATTATTAATTTTGTAATCCATTCTAACAGAGTGAGATGTCACGTTATAGAAAATTAAGTTATCTTAGTTTCTAAGTTAGAAGGAAGAATTTGTCTTGTTTCAGCGAGACCCTCTATTTTTCTTGCATGCTTAATGTTTGCACCGTTTTGAGCTAATATCAATTCGAACATTTATCGCAGATTTAAATATTAAAAAATAACTTTCTTTGTAGAAGTGTTGAAGGGCATAAAAACTTCATATCGGACAGTGTGAGTAAGCCACCCATCACACTCTAGGGTTAGCGCCCTGCATGTTCTAAATATGCCCCTTCTCCAAACACCTGCCTCAGATAGTTGAATTATCAGGCTGTCACTTCTTTCTGCAGGAGCCTGCTAATGACCTGTTCATTTAAGTCAGTTTTATTCAACAGGGAAACATTTGAAATCATGCAGGACACGAGTCTGAGATTTGGAAATGCTCACTCCTGGTGTACTTGTTGACTAGGTTAGCTTAGTCATTAGCTTAGTGTGGATGATTTCGCTGAGGTGTTGTGCAATTTCTCAAGAGTTGCTTTTGCAGCAAACTGTGTAATAAAGGTGCAAAGTTGTATATCCTGCTAATTCTGTTCTTTTAAAATTTACAGAAAATCCACATAGTCATGTAGAGCATACCTAAACTATTGAAAAGAAGTTGGAGCTTAAGAAGCTAGAATACCAAAGTACCAATTGTGGGCCCTGCTAACTAAAACATTTGTAGCAGAAACCCTAAAACAATAATCATAAACATTAGGTTTGCTAACATAAAAGCATACACTGTTATGATACGTAGCAGAAGCTAATTCTAACCTCAATTAAAATTATATCTGCACCAATTTAATTTTGAAACCATAATTAACATGATTTATAACACCCTTATAATGTCTGTACTTTAGTTATACTAAATGAAAATTAAGTGGTGCCTTAACTCATAATATCCAAGTTTATCTTCAAACAAGTCATGACATCATGCAGCCAATAAGTTTGTGTTGGAGTGTAAAGACGGCCAATTATCATACTCATTCCTCTATGACAACAAAGAACTTTCAATATCATATTGTTCCACCCACAGCTTTTTCGCTTCAACGTTTTCTCTTAAATGTATTTTTTTTATGTTCCATATGTTTTAAATATAAATACTTTTACTAAATGAGCTAAATTTAAAGATACTTCAGTTAAAAGTTAATGAAATGAGTCTGCCTCTTGTTCTTAGAGTGGCACACAGCTTCATATAAACTCAACAATTCCATAATCGTTCCAAATATTTT